TGGACTAGATGACCCACAGAGGTCCCTTCCAACCCCTACTATTCTGTGATTCTGTGATTCTGTTTTCCCGCATACTGCTGAGAACTGGGTCGATACCCACTGGCGCCCGGAACGCGGCCTGGTTTGGGGGGGTTGGTGGGGAGCGGCTCCCCTCACGCAGGCAAACGGCGGGGGAGGCGCGGTGGGCGCGGGGCGGTGGGTTTAGGCCCAACACCACGTCTGCATTGCAGGTTCAAGCAGTTTGATGCATTTTGGGTGCGTTGCTGTGCCAAGATGTTTTGTAGGTCTTACCTCACGCTTAAAAATTCAAGAATGGATGAAAACACAGTGAGGTTTTCTTTCTCAATTATATATTGGGTGGTGGTGTTTCATTACCCGTGTAACTTTTACGCAGTAAAGCGCGTGGTGCAATGTGTTCAAGCTTCCCTCTGCAACCAGGAGGACATTTCAAGATGGAGACTCAAGTTTCCCTTTGAGATACGTCCAGCCTAGTGTGATGGCATGTGGTGGTGCAGTGCTGGGCAAACTGGGAGAGCTGTGCAGCACAGCTCCCTGTGAAGGTAATCATGCAGGTCTGGAACAGGTGCCTGGATCGTTCCTTGCTAGCAGGGCTAAGTAGTTGGGCTTTGTGGTTGCGGTGTGGTGCAGGCATACATCTGCTCACTCAAAAACAAGAGGCAGAACCTCAGGAGAAACAAATCGCACCGTACTTGTGATGAAAACATAATGCTGAAAGTACTTGCATGAGAGAAATTAAAGCTAAGATATTCAGCAACGATTACATGATTTCAAGTGCTTTGATTTCCAGGTGCCTTACTAGACACATCTTCACAAAATCTTACTTTGTGAAAATAGATGCTTAGCGTTTTCAGGTACAAGCCAAGAATAAGATCAGTTACTCACAAATCTTGCTTAAAGTACACATGATCTAGAATCAGGAAATCCTGGCGAGCGGGTGTGGTGGTGGTGGGTATTAGTCACAGCAGCTAGAGTGGAGTTGATGTGTG